ACTCAACCTGGACTAGTGTGGCTTCGGGGGAACTCAAAAGCATCCAAGCAGAAAAGGTGGGTCTGACTGTCCAGGTGCCTTAGAAGACAAACGAGAAACTCTTTTTGCTCTGAACTAGAGCATGGCCTTTGTTGCTCTCGTTTTTAAACTCAATTTTATTTGGAGTATGTATGCCTCTACCTCCCTTCCACCAATGCTCTAACCCTATGGAAGAGAGAGAAAGTTAGTGGGAAGAGGGGCGTAGCCACCTTTACTTCTCCTGTCTGTCTAGGGTCAATGGGTTCTTTTGGGGCTCTGTACCAATCTCCATCAACAGCAAACACAGCAAGCAGTCTCTCCTGTCTATCTCCCCCAAACTGCTGTACTTCAAAGCATCTCTGCTATGTCTCTCCAAACCACCACACTGTCCATCGCTGGTCTCTCCAAACTGCCACACTTTCTTTCTGGACCCTCATATCCCTCAGAGTCCTAGACCATGCTTCTCTCTTGTGCTGCACGAGGCAGGCAAAAGACCATACCTCTCAGGAGGCAATTATCAGCTGCAGACTAACTAAAGCCCAAATTAAAATCTCACACTTGAGACTAAAACAAAAACAGGTTTACATAACATAACTGAGTTTTTAAAGAAACCAAAACTTTCATTACAGGTCTCAGAAAAGGGAATACCAGTTAAGTATAAAATTGCATATTATATGATTATATACCAAGTGCTGGTACTGTAGACTTGCCTAATTTAAAAAAAAAATTATACTCAGTGACTTCATAATCAGGGTACAAAGTGTAGATAGTTGACTGAGAAAAGGATATAATAATGAAGAGGGAGAGAAAGGAAGAGGGACCCTCAGGACTCCCTGAGGGTCCAAGGATCCAGGTCAAGTATGTGTATGTGCTGGGAAGGGATGAGCTCTATTTCAGGCATCTTTACATGTGCTCCTAGGACTGCCCAGTCCTGGAGGATCTAAGGTGAGACCATTCAGTGGTGGTATGACTACTTCCCATGTCTCACCTAATTTGGTGTTGTATGAAATTATTGAACTATGTTTGAGAATCAGGATCTAGCTCTTTGTCAGAGGTCTTTCCATGGCTAGATAGAAAGAATACTTTAAAAATGATTGGATTCATTTTTTTCCCTTCTGTTTAGAGCAAAATAACCAAGAGAGCCTATTTAGTTACTTCTCTTTTGCTGAGATGACACACCATGAGTTTATTCAGAGCTTACAGTTTCAAAGGGTTAGAGTCCATGCTAATCATGATGGGGAGCAAGGCAGCAGGCATGTGTGGCATTAGCTAAGAGCTTGCATCTTGATCTACAAGCATGAGGCAGGGAGAGCTAATTGGTAATTACTTTTTGAAAGCTCAAATCTCGTCCCCAGTGACATACCTTATCAACAAAGATACTTCTCTGTCAATGTGACTTTTATTTGCCTGATGTAATTGTCATCTTGGCGGTTTACTGCCTCTGTCGGCAAACCTAGGCCTAGTCCTAGAAGCTTCTAGCCTTTGTACAATCTAATCTAGGCCTCGAATGTTTTCAGCCTCTGGGAATTACTGCTGAAAAAGCTTACCCTTTCTAGGTCTTTTCGAACTCTGGCTGCCTGATTCAATTCAGATGTTCTGGCTCCAAGCTACTGATTCAATCTGGTTTCTCTCAGTTTCTTATTAAATAGCTCTGCTTGGCCTCAAACTAACTCTAGGCAATCTGTTCTAATCTTCTGGATCCTCATTCTCTGGCTCATTCTGTCTAGCTTGTTCTCTCTTCAACCTTTATCTCTAAATCTCTCCTGGAAAAAAAATTGCCTCTGAATTCCACAAACTGAACTGCCATGAACTCAGCTTCATTGGATTGCCTCTCAACTCAATGACTTAACTGAACTGAAGAGATCTGCATGCCTCTGTCTCCTGAGTGCTGGCATTAAAGGTGTGTATCATCACCATGCCTTGATTTAAGCTTTTATTTACTTGAAACTTGCTCTATACTAGGATGGCCTTGAACTCAGAAATCTGCTTGTCTTTGTCTCCTGGGATTAAATGAGTGCCTATCCAACCAGATCACACAGACTAGAAGGTCTTTGGATGTGATCTCTTGCCAGAACAGCCATGTTTTGAATTAAAATTCCTTTACACATTTCTTAGTCCTTTCCAAACGGTTCCACCAACCTGGGACTAATTATTCAAATATATGAAACTTTTGGGTTATTCTCATTCAAATCACCACAGCCTAGCACTTGCTTCAGAACCTGAGGTGCTCTGAAAAGAATCAAATTACAGTCACATTAATCTGGGGCTCTGGGAGAAGAGGGGCCATAGCTGTCCATGTAAACAGAGTGTAGAAACAGATAGTGGGGAGAGTGGTAGGTCTTATTCACTTGCTGGAGTGGAAAAGCAAACTCTTGGAACTGGAAAAAATTCAAGTTATTTATTTTTATTTTATTTGTTTGCATCTCTCTCTCTCTCTCTCTCTCTCTCTCTCTCTCTGTCTGTCACATGTGTGCAAGTACCGGAAGAGGACATGAACCTGGAGTTATAGGCTGTTGTGAGCTTCCTTTAAAGTACATCCCAGGGACACAGAAATCACACCTCTTCCAGACGCTCTTAAAAATCTTGTTGATAACAAAGACTAACCTTAAGTCCACCCCTTGTTACCTTAGCCTCCGGCCATATCGTCTTATGTCATGCTTAACTTCCAAGTGGAGACAACAACAAACTTGTAATTCCACCTCACATGATATAACTATCCCACATCTAAAAAAACAAAAACAAAAAACAAAAACCTTTCCCCAGAATGGATGCTAAAGTCCTTTCGGGGGGGACACTTACTCTTTTGTTTTGTTTTTCAAGACAGAGTCTCTCTGTGTAGCCCTGGCTGTCTTGGAACACCCTTTTTAGACCAAGCTAGCTGGTCTCGAACTCACAGAGATCTACCTGCCCCTACCTCTCAAGTGCTGGGATTACAAATGTGCATTACCACCACCACCCCTGGGCAATTATACTTAAAATATCTAATATTTTATTTTTAGGTTGATACAAATGTTTATTTAATGAATGGCTAGAGAAAAGATAGCTATCAAGGGAGACTGTGGAGTGAATTTCATTGCAACTGCCGATTGACAGATTAATGACATGCTTGTATCTCATCCCAGCTGAAATAATCTAGACCAGGGCTGTGAGAGAGACCATCCCCACAAGTGGCAGTGACAGCAACTGGGAGAGAGGAAAACAGCAAAGCTCAAATGATCTGCCTGCCGGAATGCTTAAGTAAACAGGCCTGGCTTGAGAAGATCTGAGTTTGGAAGCTCGATACTCACACAACCTTTTACACTACACGAGCTGTGATGAACGAAAGAAAAGGACCTGGGTGAGCTTGTTTTTGCTCTCTAGGGCAGTGGTTATCAACATGGGGGTTGAATGCCCCACACCTAGGGGGTCTCATATCAGATATCCTGCCTATCAGATATTTATATTAAGATTCTCAATAGCAAAGGTACAGTTATGATGTGGCAAAAATAATTTTGTGGTTGGGGGTCACCACAACATGATGAGCTGTATTAAAAGGTCACAGCACTAGGAAGGTTGAGAAACAACCTTCTAGGGCCCTTCCCATGTCTTGAATTCATTCTCTCATCTCTGGGAAACAGAAGGAACTGAAGAACACACCGGGGATAAGAGGTGGGTTTCTAGGTTTGAGTGGAAGTGTCCGCCTTACTTCGATTTCCAAACAGTTATTTTTTTTTTTTAAGTCCCAAATTACTGTGCAGAGCAACTGCTATGCATGCTACCATCTCCTTCCCCACCCCCCACGCCCGCTCACTTCCCACAGCACTGGATTTGATCTACTGTTATCACATCTGGGATGTTTTTGCACCTATATTTTTGAGAGATTGGCACACAGATTTTTCCCTCTTGGTAGATCTTATTAGATCTTGCAACTAATATTATTTTGGACTCACAAGTTCAGGGCATTTGTCTCTCTTCTATTTTCTGAATGCACTTATGAGGTTGGCGTTACATATTTTTCAGTGTAAGGATTAACCCATGATGCCATCTTCGTCCAGAAGTTTCATCATGGGACGGTTTTAAGTTCAAAGTTCAATTTCTTCAATAGATAATTTGTTTCAATTTCAGTAAGTTCTGCTTTCTATAAATTCAGTTAAAGATGTGGATGTGTTGATGTAACTTCACTGAAAAAAAAATCTCCCTTTATTATTATTATCCAGAGGAACTACAGGGATGTGTTATTTGGGTGATTTGCAGTATATATATTTAGTATTTTTTCATGAATTTTGTTAGAGTTCTACCCATTTAACTAGAGATAGATAGATAGATAGATGAATAAAGATAGAATGTTCGTTTGTGTGTGAACATGCATGTGCAGGTGTGTGTGCTCTTATGTTGGTGTGGGTGTGAAAGCCAGAGGACAATGCTTGGGTATTTTCTTCAGTTCTTCCCTAACTTACTGTTTAAGACAGTCTCTCACTGACCACAAAACTCACTGATTCAGCCAGTGTGTCTGGCTAGCCAGTCCTAGATTGCTCCTCTCTCCCCCTCCCCAGCACGGGGATGACAGGTGTGTGCTATCATTCAAGGCTTTTAATGTGGGCCTTTGGGATCTAGCTAAGGTCCTTCTGCGTGCACAGCCAGCACTTTTACCCACTGGGCCATCTGTCCAACCACTTTAACTTAATTACCAAATTAAAAAAAAAAAAAAACCTCACAATTCTTAGTTTTGTTGTTTTTCTTTGTGGGATTATATTCCCTTTTATTAATATTTTCTTATCTTCAAAAAATTCTTATTGCTTTGCATTTAATTTGCTCTATTCTCTTATCCCCTGAGTCTAAAAATTTTTTTCATTAAATTTATTTTTATTTTTATTTTTTTTCTTTATTAATTACACTTTATTCACTTTGTATCCCCTCTGTGGTTCTCCCTCCTCCCGTCCTAATTCCTCCCTTCCTCCACCCTCTGCATGCATGCCCCTCCCCAAGTCCACTGATAGGGGAGGTCTTCTTTTCCTTCCTTCTGATCCTAGTCAATTAGGTCTCATCAGGAGTGGCTGCGTTGTCTTCTTCTGTGGTCTGGCAATGCTGCTTCCCCCTCAGGAGGAGGTAATTAAAGAGCAGGGCAATCAGTTCATGTCAGACAGTCCCTGTTCCTATTACAATGGAGCCTAAAATTTTAATAATTTATTTCCAGTCTTTCTAACAAAGATAATCATTGCACACTGCAGCGTGTCCTTTAAGTCAGCATTAGCTGCATTTGTAAGTTTTGTTGAAATAGCTCCAGTACCATGGGATTCAAAATACCTTCTCATTTCTTTTGTGATTCCTGTTCTCACCCAAAAGCTATTCAGAAGTATTATGGCTTAGTTTTCCAGTATTTGGAGAATTTTCCAGTTATCAATTTGGTCTTGATTTCTAGTGTAATTTCCCAACACTGCTGTGTGGACTATACTTGTTGATCTTGGTTATTGAGGTTTGGATTTGGCCCTCAAAAGATGCTGAAGTCCGGCTGGCATGGAACCTGGTGGTAAGACAATTGCTTATATGCACAGACATAGCTCTTAATATCTATGATGCCCCAAAGTTCAGATCCTAACCCTTAGCCTCTGTTACTGTGACCCTTTTGAAAACAGAGTTTCTGCAGATGATGGGGGATAATGAGGTCACCCACCGACTACATTACAATCTTTTCCATCTGTGTCCCCAGTAAGGGGAATTTGGGACATAGGTATGTTGAAGTTTCTCTTCATAACTTTGAATGTTTCTTTTTCTTTTTAATTCTGGCAATTATTAAAAATTTCATTGATTTTCAGCTATGTTATTAGCCCGTGCGTGGAGTCATTTCTGGAAAGTCATCCTTACCACCACGAGCTGTTTCTCTTTTATTTTACCAGTGCTTTCTCTTGTTCAGTGTGTGGTGTCTGACGCTAGCAAAGCATACCAGCACTGGCAGTGGATTGCTTAAATGGCACGTCTTTCCCCATTTGTTCACTTCTGTTTTTCTGTGGCCCTGTACTTAAGTAGAAGACAGATTCTTTAAAAATCCAATTTGCCTTCCCTTCTTTGTCTTCAGTTGGAGATATGCACGGTCATAGCTACTGCTTTATCACGTGTTGTTGATCTGTGAAACTTCCCTGTTTTATAATCTTTCACTATTGCTTTTTTTTTTTTTTTTTTTTTTGCCTTATTTTGGGTTAATAAATTGAAAAAAAATTTTACCTTCATGCACTTGCTTATTCGTTAATATTATATCCTCTTTCATTATATTTTTGGTACCAGTTACTAGAGAGTTTATGCCTATATATTAAGGTTGTCCAAAGAGGAGAGAGAAGAAGGAGAGGGGAAGGAGAGGGAAGAAGAAGACAGTAGTGGATATTTTAAGAAGTTGCTGTTTGTGACTGTAGAGGTGAACACTAGAGTCTCTAGACTGGTCTGGCAGGCTAGAAAACAAGGAAGATTGACAATCCATTCCAAAGTCGTTCTGGCAGAGTTCCTTTTTCCTGGGGGAGGTCAGTCTGTTCTGTGGAAACATTCGACTGATTGGATGAAGCTCGCATTAGGAAGGGTAATCTGCTTTATTCAAAGTTCACCAGCTGCTTATCCATACACCTACACAGAAGCATCCAGATTAATGTTTGACCAACTATCTGGGCACTTTGGACCAGCCGAGTTGGCACATAAAATTAACCATTTTGGTATGCAACTTTTGACTTGTAAATTGTTACTTTTGCTGTTTTCTTGGCCAAGCTAAAATGATGGAATTCCAGATTATTTTTACCCCTTCTTGTATGTACCTTGTTGTCGTCTCGCCCCTTATTTTACTGTGCTTTAAGCCTCACAAGTTTAAAATGCAGTAAGAAAGTACAAACTGAAATGCATCTCTGTCCATTTGCACCTAACGTGTGTGGCAAAAACACCTAATGTGTTTGGCTCCTGCTACTTAGACCCTGGTCCTGCCTGTGAGTCTGTCTCACACAAAGATACTTCTGTCGTCAGTGTCTATGCACTAAATATGAACAGATGTGAGCTTCTCAAAGGAGAAAGTACAAGAGATTCAGGGACATAGACAGCAGGAGACTTTAATCAAGTAAGACAGATGTGGACGGAAGTACCTGGGACACATAATAGCTAAAGACTGGGGCCTACCAGGTAGAGCTTGTGGCTGCTTTGGACCTTCTGTTGACTCCCCTGCCCCCGTGTGCATGTCCATGTTTAGTTTTCAAACCAGTGGTCATATTTTGTAGTCTTCTGTCACTTATTGCTTAGTTTGGGCATTGTGGTGGTTTGAATGGGGATAGCTCCCACAGGCTCATATATTGGAGTGCTTAGTCCCCAGTTGAACTGTTTGGAAGGGTTAGGAGGTGTGGCCTCATTGGAGTAGCTGTGTCCTTGTGGGAGAAGGTATATTACTGGGAGCGGGTCTTGAGGCTTCAATAGCCCACACCATGCCAAGTGTCTCGTGCTGCCTGAGGATCAGGATGTAGAACTCTCTACCTTTCCAGCCTACTTGCAGGCTGCCATGTTCCCTGTGTGATGATAATAGTCTAAGCGTCTGAAAGAGTAAACAAGACCCAGTTAAATGCTTGCTTTTGTAAGAGTCGCTTTGCTCATGGTGTCTTTTCATAGCAACAGAATACTTAATACTTAATTAGACTAGTGTTTTGTTTTTGTTTTTGTTTTGTCTTGTTGGCGTTTTGCTTGTATATGATGGGTTTTGAGTTTTTCTTTGTAGTGTTTTGGGGTGTGTGTGTGTGTGTTTAAAGACTGAGAAAGAAAGGATGTGGAGTGGGGTAGATAAGGATCTGGGAAAAAGTGTGATCAGAATATTTTGTCTGAGAAATGTTTTTCAACAAAACATAATCAAGATGGGTACGGTGGCACATGCCTATAATCCCAGCACTTGGGGAGGCAGAGGCAGGCAGATCTCTGTGAGTTCAAGGACAACCTGGTTTACAAAATGACTGTAGGACAGCCAAGGCTACACACACACACACACACACACACACACACACACATACACACACTGTCCTGCACTCTGAGCTCCCATTTTTTTCTGCCTCTTGCTTCCTACTCATTTGTTCCAAATTCTATCCCAGGGCTATGATAATTTTCTATGATGATTTCTAGATAATTTTTTTGTTGTTCTCATGTACTTTGTAACCCATTTATTTAATTTTGATGTGTTTTTATAATATCATGAAAAACTGAAAATCCCATAGACGCATGTGTTTTTATAATGCACTTCTCTCTCCAGGGTCCACCTCTGGGGAGAAGAGAGCAGTGTGAACTGCTTTCAAGAGAAGCACTTGATCTTTTTCTCCCTGTGTCGGGCTGCTCCTCAGGCGCATGCTCATTCTGGCCCTGTGTATTCAGATCAACGCCAATGGCGTTGAAGAAACCATGGAGACCGCTCCTGAAGATTAAGACAGCTCTGGCTCCTGAGGGATGCTGTGGCCCTTGGCGCTGAGCCCAGTACTTGAACTTGGTTCTGGGGCAGAGGTGTTATATTAATCAATATTAAACTCCTAAAGGCTTTCCTGCCCTAGCTACTTCCCAAATAATTGACCCAGAGAGACCATAATTTATTTTATAAGCTTAAAGCACTAGAGTTGAGCAGACATCAACCTTCTAAACTATTTCACTATCTCCCAGTTACACATTCCAAGTTACTTGCCAATAAATCATCCTGTCTGGGCTGGGTCTGCTCCATCACCCTGTCCTCATGGCCATATCCTCATGGTTCATTCTGCCCCACGGCTACTTCCTTCTCTCTGGCTTCTTCTCTTCTTGCTGCATCTTCTGTTTCCTTCTCCTCTTGTCTCATTGTCTTTCCCAGACCCCCAAGCCAGGGAACCTAAGCACTGCCTACCTCTCTTCTGCCCAGCCCATGCTGTCAGCAAATTTATTAGCCAATCAGGGATAATCGGGGAGCAAAGTTACACAGCATCACTTGGTATACATAAGAATGTGCTTTTCAGGAGTGTAACTAGATCTTGGAGGACAGTAATTAGCATTAGAATTCATAGCACCCCACCAAGCCCCAACACAGAGGTGTGAAATATCTATTTCTGAGCCATGTTTGTCTTTGTGGGCTACCATTTGTTGACACCAAGCCGCCAAATGTTCTTCTAGAGTGGGAAAGACTCTTCCTTATTTTCTGTTTTATTTTTGTCTACTTAAAAAAGTCAAAATAGCATTTATTCCATGAAGACATTACAATGGCAAACCATTTTTTTTTTTTAAATTTGTATCCAACTAGCAAAGTAAAAGTTGGTAGCTCTTGGGTCCTCATTAAAAAAAAAAAAATTAAAATTAGTTGTGAAATTAAAAATAAAATCTGTGAACCACTGTTTTTGGTGTTGTAAGGGACAATTAATCCCAGAGGCCCTGGATTTATTTTTATTGTTTTACTTTGGAAGAGAGGAGGGCATTATTGGTCATCGGATCTCATTGCTCCTAAACTCGTTTTGCTCCTCATGTCTACATGCCCTGTTCATTCCTGAAACCTCATCTGGCCCAAGCCTTAACCCAGTTTCCTCATTGTGCATCCTGCTTTCTTGAAGAACATAGTGAACTTGGCGCAGGAGAACTGGGGTCTATGTCCACCCCCGTGGCTTGAATACTTTGATATTTACCCTTCTGCTTGACTAATGGCCTGTTCATTCTTCAGGACACAGAAGGGATTGTCTCTTGTTTTTCCTAATTACATTTTTGGCTGTTGTAGTTAGGAGAAGAAATTATATTTAAAACACAAATGTCTCATGGAGTAGATTCTAATTTGGCAACGTGATTATGAATGGTCTATGTAACCCTCAAATAATCTTCCAGAAATATCTGCTTCCATGTCACAAATCCTTAGTAATTTTCTAATGCTCTTCCAGAAAAGAAAAAAAAAAATAGTAAACTGGTGTCGCATGGAAGTGGTAGAAAACTGGCACAGGTAAACAGGACGTTGTCGCCCATAGTCATGAAAGAGTTTATTTGATCATTTTATTTCATATAACATATTCTAGGGCCCTGGAGGAACAAGACTGGGCAGGTAGTTTTTGATACAGGCATGAGATTGTGTGAATATTCATTAAGGTTGTCATTTCTACTTTGTTAGGTTTACATTCTGAGTGGAGTAGTTTGCTGGCAAATTTAATATGTATGTGAGTGTTGTCTCTTAAGGACAAGAAGGCTGTGGGATATAAATGAGACAGCAGGGGCGAAAGGAAGGTATTGAATAGAAGCTGTCCTGTTTCAGCATTTTGTCCAGGGCTAACTGAGGGGGTAGGCAATAGCTCTGCCCTTGACGTTTGTGGACCTGGATAAGAATCAGGTTCAACACAGGGAACTTCCCAGAGACTCATACTCCAACCAAGGACTATTCGTGGAAATGACCTGGAACCCCTGCACAGGTGTAGCCCATGGCAGTTCAGTGTCCAAGTGGGTTACATAGTAATGAAGAGGGACTGCCTCTGACATACTCTGATTGGCCTGCTCGTTGATCACCTCCCCCTGAGGGGGGAGCAGCCTTACTAGGCCACAATAGAGGACAATGCAGCCACTTTTGATGAGAACTGATAGACTAAGATCAGAAAGAAGAGGAGAACCTCCCCTATCAGTGGACTTGGGGAGTGGCATGCATGCAGAAAGGGGAGGGAGGGTGGGATAGGGAGGGGAGGAGGGAGGGGCTTATGGGGGGATACAAAATGAATAAAGTGTAATTAATAAAAAATTAAAAAAAATCAGGTTCAAGTCCTGATTTCATATGCCTAGACATTTAAAAATTACAAATTTAAATTAAGCCAATAAAATATTATAAAAAATGTGTTCTCTGTCCCTAACTTGATAAATATTTACCACATCACTTGTGCATTCCATACTGTTATATCTGACTACTTGTTTAACTTTACTCATAATTTTGAAACAAGTATTGCTGCACAGCTGGGTATGGTGGCACACACGCCTTTAATCCCAGCACTTGGGAGGCAGAGGTAGGAGGATCTCTTTGAGTTCAAGGTCAGCCTGGTCTACAAATCGAATCCAGGACAGCCAAGGCTACACAAAGAAACTCTGTCTCAAATACAAACAAATAAACAAAATATGTAAGCAAAAATCTCATGGTGGCTCATGACCACAACACAAAGGTGGAAAGTTGAGTTGCCTGAGTGCTCATTTCCATCCTAGGGCAAGATTCTGCCTTTTAATTTCAGGTCCCTTACTGTTGTAGACATGTCCTTCATGTGGTCCTTTACAAATGTTTACTCAATGCATGTGTGCATGTGTCTGGGTGTATGTGCATACCACAAGCACATAGAGGCTAGTAGAAGTCAGAAGAAGGCATCAGATCCCCTGGAACTGGTAGAAATTACAGACAGTTGAGTCTCTGTATGGATGAATTCTGGGAATGGACCCTAGGGCCTCTGCAAGAGTAGTTAAAGACTCTGGACTGTGAGCCATCTCTCTGGTGCTTCTTGTGGTCTTTTGATGCTATGCTGTCTATATCTTTTTTGTTGGTTTATATCATGATTGGAAATAGCCCTGAAGCCCAGAACTGAAGGGTTGTTAGTGTTCCTTGGTACAGGAAGGTTATGTGCCTTATGAAGAAATTACTCAGGCATAGGTTATATTGCTATTGGCTCTGAGGTCACTGTTTAATGGATCAATAAACAAAGGTGTCTTGAAGCAGAAGAACACATCAAATGAGATCATATATTGATTAGTTGGCAAAATCAAAAGTCCACATTAAGTACTGATCAGTTCGTAAAAATGTGGAGCATCAAAGAATTATAGAAATCTAATCCTGCAATTCTCTTTAGGCAAGGGTTCTGGGTCCACTAATTTCATGTTAGCAGTGACCACACAGAACATATATGTCACAAGAACTGGCTAACTTTCAAGGTGACAGACTGAAAAATATACATCGAGCTAAGTTTGTATCTGATTGGCATTTATCAAAATATCAATGTTCATCAAATATTAATTATCAATACTACTTAATCAGTTCATTCGTGTCTACATCAAAGCTTGTGACAGTTGGATAAGTAACAGGGACACATACAATTCATTACTTATTACATATTAGTTTTCTTTTCAGCAAAATCACTAATTATATTCTTGTAATCAATATTTTTACCTGATTGTATATTTACCCCTCCCCATTGTGTTCTATAAGGAGTGAAATAAAAATATTCACAACTGTAATCACCCCCCAAATAATATGTTTTTAAAGTCAGAATCCTCTTGCCTGGTGAAGGCTACGCTCTTATGAGTTTTTGGCCTGGAAGTCCCCAGAAGCTTACAAAACAGTTCAGAGTATTGACACTGCTCTTGGTTGTGCAACTGACCTAGCCGGTTAAACCCTCCTACTAAAGACACCACACACTTTGGATTCAGGGCATAAATCATGCTGGAACTGAGCTGGCAGAGTGCTCCCTGCTCAGTAGTTCTGGAAAGTGTTGTGCAGGCTGCTGGAGAAGACTGCTGTCCTGTTGAGGCCCACTCCACAGCAAAGAATACATGAGTAGTACTATAAACCTAGTCAAAAGCTCATGGCAAGGGAGGTCAGAGGCCCTAGAAAATGAAGCAAAGTATAATAGATTTGTTTAAATACTCCAAAAATCCATGAGATAGTTCCTAGAGTACAAATAACAGTAAGTACGGGGCAGGGGGAAACACAGTTGATCTAGTTAGAAAGACATATAAATTTTGGTGGCTTAAAATGTGTGTTTCCTTCATCCTTTACCTTCTCTCAAAACAGTGTTCTTGGTTATTTTAATTCTAATCATGTTACACACAAATGTTATGTTAGATACAGATGGACAAAAGTGAAAGGGGGGGGGCAGATTCTGATCATGATGGCTAATAATTTTGATGTGATCCAGGACTTCCATAATGGATTTACTAGCTACTCTTCTCCCCTGAAGACTGTTGTCCTGCCTAACACCAAGCCTGTCTACACCAGACCTGAGAACTGAGGCTTCCCAACTAGCAGACATATTACACTACTTAGTCAATGATATGTGGCCTCAGATACACAGAATGGGATTCTGGGCAAACAGGGAGCTCTGGACAAAAGTTCCAAGAAAGAAAGCACACCTTCAAATGGACACATCTGCAAGGCTGATGGACTGATTAGAACTTCAATGACCATGAAGAGGTTGGAGTGTTACAGGTCCGGAGTCTAATTATAACTTTTCTTGGGTTATCTTTAGCTCTCTACATAGCCATTCCTCCCCCATCTCTGTGTGGACCTAACATCCTATGGCTAACTGGTGGAAACCTTTTGGAAGGTATTAACAAAGCTGTGGTTTCTATCAACTGCAAGGCTGAATGTCACAGATAGTTGTTTGAGCCCTACAATCAATAATTTCCCTGCTTTGCCTTAGCCACCTACTTAATGCTTCCACTAACGTAGTCAAAGAGTGCTTCTTCAATATTTTTGTTTTCTTTGTTCTGTTAAGATAAGAGGCTTCAGAAAAGACCCCTGGGCCCAGATTTTTTGGTTCTATTGCTCTTCTTGTGGAGCTCCTGTTCCCTCCAGGTCTTTCATCTTGTTAGGACCAAATGATGGTGATGCACAAAGCATATTTTATATGAAAGAGGTTTATTAGATGGAGATAAAGAGAGGGAGAAGGAGAGAGTGAGACATGATAGGAGGAAGGGAGGGTGCCCCGAAAGAGAAAGGGTAAGAGCCGAGAGGGCAAGAGAGGCCGAGAGCCAAGAGAGAGAGACAAAGTGGCAGGTTGGTCCTTTTAAGGAGCAATATAACCACACCTGCCAGATATGACTACCTGGCGGGTGACACATGATGACATTGTAGGTTGCTAGGCAACCCAGAAGCAGGCTGCCTAAATACTAACACATCTCCCCCTTCTTTCATAAAATTCCCTGCACTCTGACCAAAGTTTGGCTATGAGTCTCAGCATCTGCTTTGATACCCTGCTGGGTAGAGTCTTTCAGAGGCCCTCTGTGGTAGGCTCCTGTCCTGTTCCTTGTTTTCTCCCTCTTCCTATGTCCATCCCATATGTCTTTCTGAGTGAGGATTGATCATCTTACCAAGGGTCCTCCTTCTTGCTTAGCTTCTTTTAGTATGTTTATCCTATATTGTATTTCTAAGCATGCATGGAGATAACCTAGAACCCCTGCACAGATGTAGCCCATGGCAGCTCAGTGTCCAAGTGGGTTCACTAGTAAGGTGAACAGGGGCTGTCTCTGAAATGAACTCAGTGGCTGGCTCTTTGATCATCTTCCCCTGAGGAGGAAGCAGCCTTACCAGGCCACAGAGGAAGACAATGCAGGCAATCCTGATGAGACCTGATAGGCTGATAGGCTAGGGTCAGATGGAAGGGGAGGAGAACTGCCCCTAGCAGTGGACTGGGGGAGGGACATGGGAGAAGAAGAGGGAGGAAGGGTAGGAATAGGAAGGGACAAGAGAGGGGGCTACAGCAGGGAAACAAAAAGAATAAATTGTAATTAATAAAAAAAATTAATTTAAAAAAAGATAAGCAGCTTCCACGTTGTAACATGGAATTTGAAACTACATCTGTTTCCAGGCCATGTTACACACAAATGTTATGTTAGATACAGATGGACAAAAGTGAAGGAGGGGCAGATTCCGATCACGATGGTCACTCATATTGGATTCCAGGGGTGAGAGCCGTGTTTCTGCATCGACATTCCATTTTGTTGTGATAACAGTGACACAAAGTGATTCACAGAAAATTAGCTTATTTGGCTTCCACTTCAGGAAGGTGAATCCACAGTGATGGGGGAGATATGGCAATGGGAGGCCGGAGAAAGAAGCTGAGAGATCACATCTTCAACATAATGCAGAAATCAGAGTGCGAGAACTGGAAATGGGGCGAGTATATAAACCCCCAGAGCCCACCCGCAGTTCTCCAAGGAAGGCTCCCATCTGTGACCTTCCCAGACTGTGCCACCAGCTGGAGGCAGAATGCTGAAATCTACAAACCAGTGTCGGACATTTCTCATTCAAACCACCAGACACCATATGAACGTGAGAGACAGCAACATTAAATCTATAACACACGGGCTAAAGAATAAGAAGATTACTGAGTATGGGGGCTTGTGCCTGGGATCCTAGCCCTTCGGAGGACCACTGCAAATATGAGATCACATGCGCTAACTAGGAAATTCCAGGTCAGCTGGATCCATAGACCCTGTCTCAGAAAACTGTGTGTGTTTGTGTTTTGTAATTAGCCAAATATATTCTGATGTGTTAGATTTATTTTCTTTGAAGGCCACATTTTCATTAGGCAGCCATCTTTTAGCTAGAAAAAAATTCTTGACTGCTATTTTAGTGTAGTCATTAAATTTCTTAGAACTCTTTTTTTACTGAAAAACAATATTTTGCCTCATTTATTAAATAATATTTTTACCGAGCAGAGGAAGAATTCCAGTCTGGCATTTATTTATTTGACCATTAAAACATTCCTTTTTAAAAATGTGTCTTATGTGTGCCTTCCTTCCTGAGCACATGTAAACCACATATGTGCAGGTGCCTGCAGAGGCCAGACGAGGGCCTCAGATCTCTTGGAACCGGAGTTACAGGCAATTATGTAGCACCCAGTGTGGGTGCTGGGAATCAACCTCCCTCCCCAACCTGCAAAAAG